AGAATGCTTTCCAAAAACCGTAGTCAGTAGGTTAGATTATAGACTGAAGGACAACAGACATATAGAAGATGAGTACGATCTAACTGCAATATCGGAAGGAGATGAGGAGAAAACAGTTTCTAATGCTGAGGTTTCCGAGGAGTTTTGTATTCAAGGTGTGAAAAGTGACGATCTCATGGAAGTCATGCTAAGTACTATGGCACTGATTCCGGAATGGTCTCCAGAAATTGTTCTCAGTAGATTAGATTGTAGACTGCAGGATGCCAAGCAGATAGAAGATGAGCATGTTTCAACTGCAATAATGGAAAGAGAGAAGCAGAAACCAGTCAGTTCTGATGGGCATATGGACATAATGGTAAATGATAGAGTTCATGTTCCAGAATGCTTGTTGAAAACAGTTGAAAGCAGTTCAGACTCTAGATCGAAGGATGCCATGCAGCTAGAAGATGAGCCTATTCCAACTGCAATAGTGGAAGGTAAGGTGCAGAAAGCAGTTGCTTCAGCTAGGAAAGTTGATAATCATGAATCAGACCGTGATGTTATAGTAAATGAGAAGGTAGAACACTGCATAAGAAGCAATATAGAAGCTGGAACTTGCAATAGAGAAGTCCAGGATAGTACTATGATTCCAGTGGAGTGTGAGATGATTGTTAATGACTCCTTTGATTCCAGTAATAAGATCGGCGATGAAGGTTTAGAGATCATACATGATAGAGAAATTGAGTTCGGTGGAACTCAAACAGAAGCTGGAACAAGCAGTGTGGCACTAAAAACTGGCCTTTGTGGCATGCCAACTGCAAATGGATGTGAAGAAACGAAAATCGAGGCAACTTCAATAAAAGAACTGGTTACCATTGTTGGTAGCATTCAAACAGAAGCTAGACCTAGCATTGCAACACTTAAAACTGGCCTCTGTGGCATGCCAATCGAAGATGGCTGTGAAGAAAAAAAGATGCAGGAATGTTTGAAAAAAGAGCTAGTTACTACTGATACAAACAAAGAGGATTGCTTTAAGACACTTGATTTATCTGTTACCGAGAAACATTTGCAGAAGTCCTCTGCCAAGACTAGGTTTGCAAAGGGAAATAGAATGTCTTCAAGGCATCAAGCTCTCCGCAAGTCCATTGATAAAGTCAAACCCGAAAGCCCGGTCAAAAGGCAGCAGGGAAATGAGCACCACATAAGACATTCCATTCCCCCAACTTCAAAGCGAAAACATGACGATGTGCAAGCAAGAGAAGGAAGGAAGGATGCTGCTGCTGCTGCCACTTCCAATGTAAGATCTAATACAGAAAGCTGTGTAAATACGTCTAGTTGTATGTTTAGTCATTACACTGGCGTATTATCTTGGGGGTGATTATATAGTGAAGTTGTGCCATTAGTTGACTAGATTTGTCTTTGTTTGTAGGATCAAGTCGAACCGAAAGGCCTACCTACCTTTGAATCATACATTGTTGACGAGGAGGAAGGTTCAGGTACGAATTTGTTCTCTTTCTGGGTTAGTTTCTCCTTGTAGCCACATTCTTTTGCATTGTATTGCTAATTTGGAAATCCAAACTTTCAGGTGGCTATGGTACTGTATATAGGGCAAGGAGGAAAGGCAATGGAGGGACTGTTGCCATAAAATGTAAGTGCATATAGATTATGCTCTTTTTTCTAATTCCTCTTTCTGGGATTTTTTATGGTTCTGACTATCTATCTATGCAGTCCCTCATGCAAATGCACATAAACAGCATGTTACCAATGAGCAAAGGATGCTGGAGAGGTTTGGGTAAGGCTTGGACAAAAGTTCCATATAAGAAAAAATCATGCCTTTCCATTTTGTCTCTTTAATATGCTATAGCATGTATATAATTCAGGGGTAGAAACTATATCATAAGATATGAAGGCCATTTCAAGAGTGAAAATTCCGACTGTTTTGTTCTGGAGCATGTTGAGCATGATAGACCTGAGGTATTGAAGAAGGAAATTGATCTGGTTCAGATCAGGTGGTACGCATATTGCCTATTCAGAGCACTTTCCAGTCTTCATAAGCAGGCAAGAGTGTTTCCGCCATACCGAGAGTTTATCTTGGGCTCTTTACTTCTATCAAAGATCCTTATTTTGAATGGCGTGACTATTTTTTCAGGGGATTGTTCATAGAGATGTCAAACCTGGCAACTTTCTTTTCTCTCGCAAGGCTAATAAGGGTTATCTCATTGATTTCAACCTTGCCTTGGTTAGTAATACTAGTCTGTTATGTTTCATCTGTCTGACGATGTGTTCCACTTGAAATGTTACTTATAGTTGCTTCCTTTGCTTTGCAGGATCTGCACCAGAAGTGTGGAGCAAATAGTAAGTTTCTTTCTCCAGAAATCTGTATGACAATATGCGAAGTATACTTACCATGTTCCGCTTGATCCCTTTGTCAGACCTGTTAGATTTTTTGGGGGTCGAATGATATGAGGTCGTAAGTGGGAGTGGACAATAATCTGTTCCACTTTGGATCGGATTTATATTCCGATAAATTAATTTTTATTTGGTTTCGATGTTCAAATCCATGAGTTTTTTTGGCTCAGATTATGTAGGTTCTGTTAAACACAACAGAAAAGGTTGACTTAAGTGAAACCGAATCCGACGTAATCAAGTAGAATGTTCTTATGATGTATGATTTTTGGCTTTTTTTATGTTGTATGGAGTTTTGTTGGGGGTGCCTAGAGTGTAGGTGAGCAGGTTTTGAGTTCTTGTCTCCTCTGTCGTGTCCTTTTACTGATGTGCAGTTTAGTATCTTTTATAAGTAGTGCTGGGACTTTATAGGTCAGTCCCTTTGTACTGCTGCAGTTTTTGCAGACTTGCTGTCTTTGTTTCACTGTCTTCTGTAATTTCCTTTTCATCACCATTATAAAAAAAAAGTCGAATGTTCTTGTGATCACACTATGATCCTTAATTTTCTTCATTTTTTATCCGGCCTGATTGGACCAGCCCGGTCGATGCCTACTCTTAGTTTTGTGTTCTGAACTCAGAGTGGGTTAGATATTGATCTAACAATACAAGCTTACATACGATAGTGGAGTCATAGTATTACTACGATCTCGTAAAATTGTGATGATAACGCTTTTCTTCGGATCCTGCAGCCAAATTCAGGACCGGGAATGACAAAAGTTTCAGCGATGCAATGCTAAACAAGTCAGAACCTTTTCAACCTGTCAAAGCTGGGAGGGCTCAGAATCTGAAGTCTTTGGATGTAAGTCGTGAAGAATCTAAAGGCTCAAAGACCTGGAAAAAGAAGGCTGGTAACGCTTTGAAAGCTCAGAATGACATGCGTGGATGGAATCTCACACAAAGTCAGGGAGCAGAAGGCTCAGGGGTAACATCCGTGAAAGACTTGACCAGTAATAGGACTCCTTCAGCCGAAAGGCTAAGAGAGCCTTTACCAAGCCACGGCAGGAAGGCGCTCCTGAGTTTGTTGCATGAAACAATGAACTCCCCGAATCACGAAGCATCCAGCGCTCCATCTTCTACGAGGAAGAGGGTTGCAGCTCCTCCTTCGAAGGTTGATGGAAGGCTTCTTTATGTCTCTCCAATGCCTTTGCAACCTTCTGGGATGGCTGTCACACTTAATGGATTTACCAAGGGCAAAGGTTAGTAATCCTCATGCAGTTTGGATTGCCAAAACACTTTTCCCGTTTACCTTAGTTAATAATATCTGCTATTTTTTTGCTGATCATTAGACGGGAAGTTGAAGAAAGAAGGCCCTTGTGTGGGAACAAAAGGCTTCCGTGCACCAGAGGTGAGTAACTAACTAGCTAAGTTGGTTAATGTAGCTATGAATGTACTTAATTACGATACCATTATTTAACAATCTGAACCCTCATGTCGGAATGGTATTGATGCAGGTGTTGTTGAGATCACAGTATCAAGGTCCCAAGGTTGATTCTTGGTCAGCTGGGGTAACCTTACTGTATCTAATGATTGGAAGAACGCCTTTCTATGGTGAACCTGAACAGTAAGTTTCGGAGACTTGATTTTCTTAATATGAATTTTCAGAGACTTGATTGAATATATCTGTCTTGGGTTCTTAAATCTCTCATTTTATGCTATGCTGATGCTGATCTATTGTTTTTTTTTTTTTCAGGAACATAAAAGAGATAGCAAAGTTGAGGGGTAGTGAAGATCTCTGGGAAGTTGCGAAGTTACATGACCGTGAATCCTCGTTTCCACCGGTATGTGAAACCATATTCTATATGCAACTTCTGATGTGAAATGTGGGGCAAAATTTAGGGTAGGGCTATAGTTCGGTTCATTCTCTCCAGTGAAAGCTTCTTCCAAATATGAAAAAATACTCGGAAGTGATTCATGGACTCGTTGCTATTGTACCTGCAGGAACTGTACAACGCTCAATCCCTACAATCTCTACCACTCCGGGAATGGTGCAAGATCAATACAAAACGGCGTGGCTTCCTTGATCAGATGCCTTCATCACTGGTCGACCTCGTTGACAAGTGTTTAACCGTAAACCCGAGGTCCAGAATCAGCTGTGAGGATGCTTTGAAGCATGAGTTTTTTGCTCCACTGCATGAGATAATCAAGAAGCACAAGCTTGCTCGTGAGGGCGATTCGACTGCAGCAGCTGGACCGGGCACCACCAGGGTTCCCTTGCACAAACGAAACTCGGTCGAGCCCTTGGCCAATCTCATTTGACCATGGATCCTCAATGGTTGAATCGTTTGTTGGTTATTATTAGGTTAGCCAGCTCCCTAAATATCATTGTGATGCTTCTAATTGACTGAAATGTTGTGTAAAAATGCCTTCACTAACATGTAAGCCTTCTTAGTTTTTGAACTTTTGATCTGGTCTTTGTCAAAAAAGTGACGAAGCTCCATTTGTAACATTGTGGTTGTAATTGTAGTTGTAGGCCGGTTGGGAAACTAGCAGTTAATTAATGTTGTAAATTTAGTTGCTCTCTCTTTCATCTCTTCAGATCGGATTAAGCAGTGGCAAATGTCTAAAACTTTATCCATCCTGATCAACTGGCTGAAATAACTCAATTGGTCTTGATTTCATTACTGAAATCTGTTTGAGCCAGCTTGTTTTCAATAAAGAATTTGAACAGACTAGCTCTAATCCCTCTGATATTGAATATAGGACCAAGGATATAATAGAATCAGTCCATCCTAACAAAAAATGAGATTATCTCGCCCTCCAAATCTTACATGGCTCTGAGCATGCGATCTAGTCTGGTTTTCAGGTTACCTGCAACAGGAAAACCGCCTACCTTGCCAAGAAAACACGGCTCCCTGTTGGAGTTGTGTGTTACACAGATTCAAACATAACAGCTGTTCGCTAACTAACTTGTGGGGAGGGCACTTTATTTTGCTCTCTTTTGGTCGGATACTCGGGCTCCAGCAATCTTCACAACTGGCTGTTCTTCCTGCGGTACGGGCTTCAATGCAGGATGAACTTTGAGATCACCCACCAGCAATTTTTCGCCAACATCCAATTCGCTTAGGTCTACTTCGATATACGGAGGGATGATATCTGCTGGGCAGAGGAACTTCACCGTCCTCTTAATCACATTCAAGTACGAACCTGTTTGAGTTTGTTTCAGAAAAACATTGAACATCAGTACATAGGACATGAATAGAGATCTCGTACAGAAATGCTGAAATGGAGTCAAATTAATGAGTTTCGGTGTCACAACTCACGAACTACTTGTGGGGTTTCCTGCCAGAAGCAACTTATAAATTATAATATTGGTTTGTGAAAGTAATGGCATGTACCACTTCTAAATACTAGCTGTTTTTGAAGTACATGATTACCATATGATCCTAACAGCCAGAATAGCAGGATGCTTTCCATAATGGAAACAGCATTTCACCATCACATTACACTAGACAATGACATTCCCCTCTGACCTTTCTAGCACAGGAGTTTTGTTACATAGAAGGGGTGTCAATAAACATTAATGCAGATTGCCCTGTTAAATTCATGCAATCTCTCTGTCATTGTCTAACAATAAGCTTAATGAAATCTCGAGTCTGCGACCCCATAAGTTTCAAATCTAATTCAGCATATGATCTACAACTCAAATTGGAACCTTAGGGCATTCCTACTCTAGCGGTACAAGGCAGGGTGGCTTGTATCAGCGTTTTCACCATCTCGGCTAGTCGAGTAATAGTTCTCCTAGAGGTTACAGAGGTTGCCAAGACGAGGGAAGAACAATTATATAAAAAATTCAAGAACCCTCAAGTGATGCAATCCATTTCTGGCAAAGTTCATGTTTTACCAACATCATCACAGTTGTCACCAAAGAAACTCAGGTTCTCTACATTCACAATAACCTCCTTGAATGTTAAAAAAAAAAAAGAGAAACCATTAAAAAAACAAGAAAAGCAAAAATGCATATCAATTCTCAAATCGCAAGTCCAATTCTGTGAAGTCTAAGAAAATCTTCCGAAGGTAAAGCTTGAGATGAAATCATAATGAATTAAAAGGAATAACTCATTTGCAAAAGTACGATCCACGTGAAGTATGTCCGAAGAGAAATCTTCCCAAAAGCATGGTACCTCTCATGTAAGATCTAAATCACCCATATGTTATACTTCCTCTGGATAAATGCCTAGCGAAGTACTCTTAACAGTAAGAATAGAGCATTACTATCCTAGGACTGAAATACCATGCTAGTTATAGCTAATGCATAGCAAAGTAGTTCCAAGGCCGGATGACATGGTAGAAAGGAAAACCACACATCGAATCACTCTCGGCAGTACACAAGTAAATCATTCGTTCAAAGCACTTGGCAAATGCAATCGCACATATAGGAAAATTGAATACCGACAATACGATGCAGCTGAAAAGAACTTCAACTATGCTAAAGAAAAAAAGAACACTAGCACGTACACTACAAATTAAGCAGCTAGATTACAAATTCCCAATACTAGAGCACTGAAGATTGAACCTAACACCAGCAAATTGAACCTAGCATTCAAAAACTCAAATATAGCCCTCAAATGGTCATCTCACTGCACAGGAATCAGAGCCCTAACCTTTCCTGAGTCCAGGAGACACGTCATCTCCTATGAACACCAGAGGAATATCAACTTTCAACAGAGCCTCTGAAGGTGCCCTTATGAAGGTTACGTTCAACGGAACATCAGTTCCAGAGTGCAAATGTAGCTGCCAAACAAACAAAAGCAGAAAAATATTGATTCAAATACTCTTAGACACCAATTCAGCTCAACAAAAAATCTCACCCAAATGCCCCCCATTAACATACCAATCTCGGCAAGACGCGAACTTTCTCAATAATCTCATCCTCCTTGGCAAAATCGCTCCTGACCTCGAGATCGAAAAGCCTCGACAGGAAGAACGACCTCCCGACCTTATCCACCAAATTCCGGATGCGATTCGACTGCACCGAGATCAACCGCTTGTTGCCCCCATGCTGCCCGTCTTCCTGCTCGAACACGATAGCGGGCACCCTCCCGACTTTCCTCTCCTTGGCGGAAATGTTCTTCCCGGAAGAAGCTCGAGGGATGGCGAGAATCTTCTCGGCGGGGCCGGGCTTCGGGAACCCTTCGAGGTAGGTGATTGGTGCTTGGATTGCTGGCTCCTCGACGATGACGGCGGCGGCGGCCGACTGGGAGAAGAAGCGGTGCTGGAGGGTTTTCGCGAGGGCGCTGCGACTGCGATGGACCCTATACATTGTGAAATGAGAAAGTGGGTAGGGAGGAAGGACGGCGAAGGGTTTAACGGGAGAGGTTTTCTCCGGGTTTTTGCAGCGTCGCGATTTTGGGGAATTTCACTTTCCCGTTTACCTCCCTCGAGGTTTGATTTGGAGGCGACGGAGAAAGATTGGCATAATTACAGAACAGTCATTTAACTTTTCCAATTACTCACAAATGAGCAGCTGAACTTTAATTCCTAGCAAACTTGCTATTGTATGTTGGAATAACAATTAGATCAAGTGGATAATATTATTATAATTAATAATTTTCTCTGTTTGTTGCCAGCCGACATGGCAGTCTTTCATTGGATACGGTACGTAGTATTCGTGGCAAACTGCATAACACAGTTGAGTTGGCAAACTGTTTACTGTGTATTTTTATATTTTTATCGATTTTATATTTAACTGGTTTTTAGCCAATGTTTACTTAGAGGGAAAGCATCTCCAAAACCGAAACTTCTAGATTACCCCTATTGACATTTGCCGAATATCCCCTAAAAACAAAAGGTTCCGCAGTAAATAAGAGGAAAAGCATGGGTATATCCGGAAAATCGGAATCTCCATCTTCCTAGAAACTTCATAGGCCAAGAAACGAGAAGATGCTATAAAGGGACCCTACGTCTATTCTTCGCTTCCGTCATCGAACGCCCTCGAGAAAAAAGGATCAAATTCCTCTCTGATAACGAAAGATCGAACGAGTCCATTCTTCGTCTTTTTCCGCTAATTCCTTCTCCGTGATCAGCAGCCTCTAGAGATCGTAACCGAAGCAGAAGAGTTTCCGCCATGGATGCGTTCTTCGGCTCTCAATCCACTTCGAGGAGTCGCTGGAGCTACGACTCGCTCAAGAACTTCCACCAGATCTCTCCCGTTGTCCAGGCTCATCTCAAGCAGGTATTGCTCGATTCTCATCCGTCGGTGATACCTATGGTTGTTACGTTTTTTTCTTTTTCGCGCCTAGTATTTGGATGGAGTCTCTCGTCGTTCGCCGCCGCGGATAGAATGAATTGCATTCTGGAGCGGATTTGTGGTTAGTTACGCAATCGCGGTCGTTGGAGGTGTATTTAGGGTTTGAGATTTTCCTAGTTTTGCGATTTGGACTCGTATCGTCTCTCCCTTTCTATGTATGCGGATTGAAATTCGATCTTGGAAGAATGTCACGGAGGCGTTGGATTGGATTTCGGAGGCGAGCTCTTCTTGTGGCTTATGCTTTGTCGTTCAATTTCGGCTTGAAGCTTCCTGTTTGGCTTAATCACTGGAACTCTGTAAATGGAATATTCTGTTATCGTTTTGCATGATGTGTTGATCATTTAGGAAAGAAATTATAAGGTTCTGCGGTGCTCTCCTGGAATAGTTTCGCCAATTTGGTTTTAGGTTTTGGATGGATGATGGTAGGAAGAACTAGTTCGCCGTGTAGTTCGTGCTATATAATTCAGTTGTGGCTTTTGCGTTTCAATTCTGCTGTAGCAGTAATTATGTTGCTGATAATAGCCTGTTTATGTTTTTCTGTGATGTTCTTGATCATCGGGAAAACAAGCAATAATGAACTACAGTGATCGTATTCAGCCTTTGGATGCTGGAAGTGCTCCTGATTTCATTCTTGTTTACAGGTCTATCTGACATTGTGCTGTGCACTGATTGCATGCGGGATAGGCTCCTACTTGCATATCCTATGGAACATTGGAGGTCTCTTGACGACTTTCGCTTGTGTGGGATCTATGGCCTGGCTGATGTCTACACCTTCATACCAAGAGGTGTAGTCAGTTACCCTCCTGGAAATGCACTTATTTAATTTATGCTGTTATGTGTCCTTTCATCTGTGCTAACCGTATCTGTCACTTCTTGTTTGTTGAACAGCAAAAGAGGGTTTCCCTTCTGATGGCAGCTGCGGTTCTTCAGGGTGCTTCTATTGGTCCTCTGATTGAGCTAGCTTTTGATATTGATTCAAGGTACAAGATCAGAGTTAATTTATTTTTTCATCCCCACAACATTCCATTTATGGTGTCCAGTTTTAGTAGCATCTATAGCATAATTTGGTCTATTTTAAAGCAGTGTGATTATCTGAGAGCCTCTGGCTGCTCTCTTGAGAGTTAAAACTAACACATTGAACTGAAAATTTGGTAATATGCTGTGAGATCAGAGTTAAGTTTTTCATATTTGAGTGGTTTGGCTTGCATTGGTGTTGGATTCGATCTTCTGTTTGCTTACTGCATTGCCATGTTTCTTGATCTTTCTCCCTTGACTCCCCAGTAACTTTAGGGGTACAGGTTGTGCCTAAATTGAAGAGTCTTAGAGTCTTAGTGAGTCTGGTTGTCATCAGTGTGATGATTTGAGAACGTCATTTTATTAAATTTTTCGCACTTCACTCCTGTGAAGCTAATTTAATATGGAATTTGAACTTTTGGTTCTTGCAGTCTCATTGTCACAGCTTTTGTGGGGACAGCCATCTCGTTTGGTTGCTTCTCCGCAGCTGCCATGGTGGCAAAGCGTAGAGAGTATCTGTACCTTGCTGGGTTGCTCTCTTCTGGCCTTTCTATTCTCTTCTGGCTGCAGTTTGCATCCTCCATTTTTGGAGGATCTGCCTCGGTCTTCACATTTGAGGTCGGTAGATTGATTCTACCCTACCATTATGCTTCTCTACGTTATTCCTTTGAATGTACTGTAGCTAACGTTCTTCTCAAACGTTCCAGCTGTACTTTGGGCTACTGTTGTTTGTTGGCTATGTCGTAGTCGACACACAGAACATCATCGAGAGAGCTCACGTTGGTGATCTGGATTATGTGAAACACGCTCTTGAGCTGTTCACCGACTTTGTCAGCATTTTTGTCCGGATTCTCATAATCATGGTGAGTTTGTTGTCCTGTCTTGGTGATAAATCTTTCTTCCTATCTTTAATCTTTTTAGTGTAGGATTTGAACTGACCTGGTTCTTTATGTCTTGCAGCTGAAGAACTCGATGGAGAAGGAGAACGACAAGAAGAAGAAGAAGAGAAGAGAGTAAGGAGTAGTTGCCTCGCTGATGGGAGCATGTGCTTGAAAAAAACCACGCTGTGTTGATACTTTTAGCTTTGTTTTGTGGGATCTCGGGGCTCTACATCACCTGTCTAGCAGCGTATAACCTTTGTTGCAATGACCTCTGTTTTCTTCCTCCCTTTCTGTTCAGTGTTGACACATCTTTTGCTTTTAGCACACGGTATAATACATAGCCATAGACCTTCAATCAAAGGATCTGTAACTGTCTTGGAGTTTTGCTTATAGAGCTGGTGATATGGTTTGAGCTCTTTAGTGATCATAGTAGAGGATTCGGAAAGGTCGGTGCTCCCTAATTTCTGGTAACAAGAGAATTTCTAAGAGAAAGCTCTTAGAAATTACAACGTACAATCTTCACTTTCTTCCCTGCTTCACGTCATGAAAACCTACGACACACATCTATCCGGTAAACAACAATAGAACCGAAAGGTGGCAGAAGCACTACTGGTGGTGGGTTTAACAAAGGCTATGCAGAGAGAACATTGAACAAATCTGTATCAAGTACGACAAGCGTCAAACAGAGTTACTTATGACAAGGTTGTGTGACAATGCATTTGCCGTCTCACTATAGTTCACGCTGATCCAGTATCACAGTTGAGAGAACGTTTCATGTTCGGTTTCGAAGAACGCGAAGATACTGTGTGGTGTGCTCTCTGTAGGCTGTACTGAGCAAACTATTTGAGAGAAATATCCAGAAGATAGAGTCATATGTATCAACAGAACGCTATTTCTAATTGAAAGGCGTAGCAGGTATCATCTATTGCATACCATTTCTATTTGCCATAGCATGCAATTCATGAATCGTGGCACCTTGATCCTGGTCGAAAAGTTGTCCACCGACTCACACATTAACACAAGAAAGGCAGAAGTACAATTGATTATAGTGCCAAGCATATACCAAAATTCAGGAAGTCGAGCTCGGATCAGTGCAGTTCGCCAAAATGGCCCACTGAACTACCAAATTCGAAGTTTCGAGGAAACCCTAAAACTATACAGAAATGCTGCAGAAAGCCCCCTTGGAAAGGAGAAGCTCCCTAGGGTTTTCAGACTATATTCCATAGACCAATGACACAATTGAATGAGAGACGAGAGATAAATATTATGGGTTTATTCCAATTCAGCCATTGTTGAACTCTGGATGCAAATGAGCAAAGTAGGTAGCAAACAAGCGGGAAGGAACTGTGATAGGTGTCCTTGTTTCACACGGAAACATTATTTCATGATGTATTTGGTAACTTTTGTGTTTTCCTTTCTTATTCTTGCTCCAAGCCCAAAACAAACCAAAGCAGGCCGGGAAAGGACGAGGCCCAATTGGGATTGGACGGTGTCGGCCTATAACAAAGAGAATTGAGCCCAAATAAGGCTGTGTAATCTGGGCTTCTTTGAAACTTTTGGTCGGGCTTTGTCAAGCTTTTGCAAAGGTTCAATCAGTTTTTGCGTTTGGTCGTGTGGTTGGGAGGTTGACTAAGTTTGTTCTGTGGTCTACTGTTAATTGCTTGGTATGACCACTCAAAACGACAAAGATATAAAGGTTCTCACAAACACGATTACGTCTGCGTCGCATTTTATTACGAGAAAAATATATAATTAACGACAATAACTTCAAGTGAAATGAACATTAATGGATTTCAAGTTGAGAGATTTGGACATAAAAGATAACTGTGTAGATCTAATGGTTTACATTATTCTCCTCCAAATACCCCAAAAGGCCCAAAACTTAGCATGAAAGTTTCGCCATTGAGAAAAGCAGCCATTCAAAGGAGCCACCGGCGAAAGGAAAGTCCTTATTGAGATGAAGTTGAAAGAAAGAAAGAAAGAAAGAAAGAAAGACTTCTTCTCCTCTTCTTGTTGTCCCACTCACTTTTCAACCTTCTCTCTTTTATTCCCATAGAAAAGGTTCTCTCCTATTCCCAATACCATTAGTGGGTCAATTAAGTTTCTCTACCTAATTAAGTAGTTCAATGGCGATCTAAGAATGAATTTCACATTTTATAATCAAATTTATGATATATGTCATGTGACATACATCATTACTGTCATTTCTCCTGGATTCATAGTATTTCCAAATTGAATATTATCATGCACAATGGAAAATTCACCCACCAAATATGACTATATTAGTGAACAAATTATAGAATATTTTACTAAACTTGATGGTTTGAGAATATAATTTCTACATAATATACACCAAAACTTAAAGAGATATTTGGGTCAAAATTAGGGGTATCAACTCTTGCTCTTTACAAAGACATTCTCTAACCCTTTGAGAAGAGGACCCCTTTATGAATCAATTGAAAGAGGATTCCTCCAACTCTTCCAAGACAAAGCAATCGCTGCGATCTATCAGTTATAATTATTTTTTATTTGCATTTTTTCATTCGTATCCATAAAAAACGAATTAACTTTAACTTAAACGGTGACGTGCATAATAGGGGCCACATTTTTTCGTCTCCGTAAGTTTCAGTTATGCTTGGAGATCATATAAAAGAAAGCTAAATCATAAATTATTCACATCATTGTTCTCAATCGAACTTTATATGGACGAAAACAATATATAGTTTCAATTTATAATAAAAATAAGCAAGAGCATAGTTGATAAACAATTTGTAAGACCACGGAAACCATTTCTTATGATGGATAATCTTATTAATCACTTGATTTTGTTTTCCCGATATTTTTAGACTAATCGGACAGGTTTACTTGTATTTTAGATGATATGTAAACAAAACACTAAAGAGTTCCATGTAAAGGGGGGAAAGAGGAGAGAGCAAATAATAGCAAACAATTATTGGTAAATAAATTTAGAAAATGGAATTAAAAAAATGAGTGGGCAATGTGAAGAAGGAACAGTGTCCAAATAAATAAATAAATTAATTAATTAAAAAAAAGAAGGAAAGTAGTCACTACGCTTATACTATACACCATTACTTGAATTGGATTATTGACCTGTCCTTTGGCAAAGTCCAAACGAATTTATTTTGATTTATTATGAACCGTTGGATCAGATGAAAGGATGGCTTCATTTCATCATCCATCCTCATCATTTTCTGTGTATAATAAAAGTTGGGTTGAGGGGTCAAAATCGGTTGGATTTAATTTAAAGAACAATCCCCCAATTGAAATGCCGGTGAGTTTATTTTTTTTTTTTTTTTTTGCATAAAGGGGAGGCAGCAGCCAGGAAAAAGAAAAAAGGGGGTTACAGGGGAGATTACAAAGAAAGAGTAGGGGGAACCGCTATGCGGCGCTCGAAAGTAGTGCCAATATAATCCTCCCGGAGAACCGTAGCCAGTCCGGTTGGTGGATCAGCAACCTCATGCACACCGTAGGGATAGACGAGACTGTGCTTCGAGAGCCAGTCCGCGACTCTATTCCCTTCGCGATATACATGAGTAATACTGATCAACCAATCCCGACTTAGCTTCCTGCGAATCGCAGCTAGAAGGGTAGCATACGGATGAATCGGGTCTTCTCTGTTCTGAATGAGTTGGATGGCCAACTGAGAGTCACTCTCCACCTTCAGCGATCTGTAACCCAGCCTCCATGCAAGTTCTAAACCATGCTCGAAAGCCCAAAGCTCGGCCATCGCAGCAGTTGCAGCACCGATGTTTGCCACGAATCCTCCCAGCCATTTACCAGTGGAATCCCTGATGACCCCGCCGGCACCTGAAGGCCCCGGATTGCCGTTCGAAGCTCCGTCAATGTTCAGAGTGACCCATCCATTGGGGGGAGGAGACCACCCAATGTTTGCAAGCTGGCGCGCCGCCGGACGGCTCCGCTTATCCGGCATCAACGAAGGGGCGAGCCAAGACTCATGCCACAGCCTGGCTTTGGTAATGATGGAGTGCTCCAGCGTTGGTGAGGACAAAGCGGCATTCACCCCCTGGAGAGTTGCCGTGCATCGATTCTTCCATAAAAGCCAGGCCACAATGCTGAAGAAATTCGGCCACTCGATCCCTGTTCCTGTCAAAGTGTTCGAGAGAAGATTAGTTCGAAGCCAGCTACCTTGGTCCATGCTGAAGAAGGTCTGCTGCTGCTGCTGAGGAACATGTCTTGACCAGAAAAAGGCGGCGGGAGGGCAGTCCCGAAGAATGTGCAAGATGGTTTCCGGCTGGCTGGGACACCGGGTGCAGCAAGGGGTTGGCGCAATTCGCCTGTTGTACCTGAGGACATTAGTAACAATCCTCTCAAGTAAAACAAGCCACATGAAGCTCCTGATTCTTTCCGGGACGGCAAGGCGCCAAATAGCTTTCCAAAATCTCTCGTCAGGGTGCGGCTGCTGCTGGGTAAGCAGAGTGAAGGCCGACTTTGTGGAGAATCTGCCATCCGAAGAAGCTGTCCAGAATAAGCGGTCTTCTTCCTGAGATAGGGGGTCAACGGCGATGCCAAGGATCTTCTGGTGTATCTCCATGGGCAGCAGGTGAGCAAAGAGCTCCGTTCGCCAACTCCCATCCTCACGAACAAAATCAGCAACCCGCGCCTCTTCAAGCTCACTCGGAATCGCGCTCAGAGCCTTCTCCCGGAGAGGAACCTGCAAAACCCATGGATCAAGCCAGAATTTAGTGCGTTTACCGTTCTTGATATTCCAGGCACACCCTTTATGTAAAAGATGAGCAGCTTTAGAGAAGCTGGCCCAGGTGAAGGAACTTCCCTGAGTTGGCCGAAGGATATTGATGCCTTGTCTATGCTTGCCGTACTTAGCCCGCATCACTTCCGCCCAAAGGCAATCTTTTTCCTGAAGAAGGCGCCATCCACCTTTAGCCAGCATAGCTATGTTCGCGTCCCTGGTACTTCTGAGACCCGCCCCGCCATTACTCTTGGGCATGGTCATCTTCTCCCAGGCAACTAAATGCATCTTGTTCTTGTCCGTCTCATCTCCCCAGATGAAATCTCTGCTGATCTTATCGATGCTCTTGCAGACGTTGGCAGGGAGGAGCTCAGTCTGCATACTGTAGACCGGCAGGGAGGCCGCAACTGACTTGGCCACAGTAAGCCTGGCAGCGAAAGATAAGCGCTTCGCCTTCCAGGGAGCCATCCTCCTTTGGATCCGGAGAAGGAGAGGCTGATATCTCTCTCTGGTCACCCGCTCTTGGATAGCCTGAATGCCCAGATATCTTCCAAGGTTTACTTTGAGGGGGATTCCTGCTTGCCGGCTCAGTCTTTCCGCTCTCCGACGGGGAATATTAGGGGAGACATACATGATGGACTTGTTGAAGTTGACCTTTTGCCCGGAGCTAAAACAGAAATCTTCCAGGCACTGTTGAATAACTTGAATTTGGCGGGATTCTGCTTCCGCGAACAGGAGTAGATCAACGAATTTGCCGGTGAGTTTATTTGATTGATGTTTTGGATCAACTTATTTTTCAAAGTATGGCTGGGTAATGGTTT